CCCTACTGGGATTGTGGTCCTAATGTGCTTTACACCATTACCTAGAGCAAATCCTGCTTAAAAACAAAAGTGCACATACAGGTGAAAGGGTTGACCTGAATAATGCACAGTGAGACGATGGAAATGAGTGTTTCTATAGAGCTTGGCAGATGACGCTCTGGAGACAGAGGCAAATTAGTGCCCCAGTAGCAGTCCCATCAGCACTGGTGCTGTCAAAAATAACGCGCTCTGAAAAAGACAAAACTGATTGAGAGCTTGGCTTTTATGCATGAAAAAAGTGTACCCGTAACTCGCTATTCTTTCCTATCAGCACATGAGCAACACTTTTTTCCCCACTCATGTGCTCTGTTCCAGAAACCACACTCCATGTCTGCTTTCAGTCCCTCCTTACCTGGCCCTCCTCTGCCCGAGAGGCATCGTTCCCAAGCAGCGGCTCCGCAGGAGGTGTCTGGATAGTGACGGACTTCTCAGACCGACTGCCATCTTTGCTTCGTGGCGATTTGTGCCTGTCCCGACTCCTTTCCCAAATAGAGCAAGAGAACAACGTTATCAAGCAGGGTCTGGAATCTGCTACACCTCTACCTGCAGCAGATGCCCCAAGCATTACATTGTAGTCATGCCTGTCCATCTCTTGATCACTATTGACTCAATCTATGACAAAACAAGCTTTGGAAGACGTAGAAAGGAACCTTGCCCAGAGCAGCCTACAGGCTGGTGGCTGGGACAGTCTACCCTCTCAGCAACTGGAGAGGGGAGAAAATGGGACAGGGGTACACCCCCACCACCTCATCTTCTCTTAAAACAGCTTTTGCTGAGCTGCACTTGAAAGGGAAGCTTGCATTCTCCAAATAACTGGCAACTCCATTTGGGATTAACTGGTCTACACAGCTCTCCACCTGCAATAAAGTGTCTCACAGGGACATGTACAGTTAATACAAGGAATTAATCAAGACAGCTTTAGCTACTGCAATGCAGATTCTTGTCAACTAGGACCTTAACACTGTAGGACAAATGGTGAAGTTTACTTCCACTGGTTAATAACCTTCAGTTAACCTCTTACAAAGAGAGAAGAACATCAAGGGTACCAGGCTAATGCTTACTTCCAGAGTACCTTGTAGACCTCATGGCTTCTTGTTCAAGAATGTCTCAAAATGAGTTGAAGTCTCACCAATCTGCTCACCAATATTTTCCTCCTCCTTCCTTCCTGGACAGGAAAGCAGCCTTCGCACCAGAGACCCTCACTGTGCTCAGGGACTGGCTTAAAGCTCAAGAGCATCCAGGGTCCCAGCTCTGTCCTCTCCATTGCATCTCTCTTGGAATTACCAAAGCCCAAAGGTTTCATGGGATGAGACTTTTTCCTGTTCACAGTAATAGGCTCTAGGATTTTTATGTTGTTTTGGGAAGTCTGAAGGCATCTTTCCACATGGCATTCTAAGCTTCAAAGGGCAATCCATACTGGGGGTGGGGTGTTAAAGAGAGAAAAGGCAAACAAGAGATATTTTACTCAGTAACTGGTCTGTGAGCAAAGAGACTCCTTTTCATGGAAGAATTCTTTTTCCAACCACACAAGATAATTGCTTCTCAAATGCAAAGTTATTCTGGACCAGTTCAGTTCTAAGTTGCAAAGACTGTAAGCGGCACACATTTTGCAGGTAAAACTAATGATGATGCAGCGGGAAAAAAAAAAAAAATGTTTCCAAGTAATCAGAAGTTTCACAGCAAGATGGTTTTTGAGGCTGCTGAACTAGCAGAACAGAGAGGACTTGCTACTCAAGGTCAGAAAAGTCTAACTTCTAATCCAGTCAATGCTGATAAAAAACTTGTTGTAGACTCAACTACCACTCAAATTCTATTGCAAAAAACCAACACACCAGCAGCAGAGTAGACAGGAGGATGATGGGGAGAGATAGGAAACCTTATTATTACACTATAAAGAAATGGCATCAGAAGAGAAAACAACTGGCAATTATCAGTTTAGGAAGTCTGACACATCTTCTCCCCAGAGACTCTACTGATCCCTCACACTTAAAGTGATAAAAGTGACTAAAAGATCTTAAAGTGATCTTTTCCTTGTGTTGGCACTATCCTAATCTTTCCGGCCATACACGACGTCAGCGTGCATCCAACAGGTTGAATATCATTAAGTCATCAGCGTTATTGCTTCAAGCCTCCTCACTGTGTTCCTTATGAGGACTCTCCACATGCATCTCCTCCAGAGCTGTGGCCTTACTGATTTCATCCTGGTTTACAATTTTTTTCCAGGGAACATGTCCTAGCTTAGACCAGTAAGTAATTAAAGATTAACATTTCCTTACCCTTGTCTGTGGGCTTTTTTGGAGTGACCTGAGTAGTGGGAGTATCCCGAATATGTCGATTCTGTATCCATTGCAGCAGACATCGGGGTCTGCACAGAAGGGGCACAGATTTTATTTAGAAGATGAGTTCCTGATGCTCCTGAGGTGGAGTCCGTGGTAAAAGTGCTTTCCTGGGTACTCTTTGCTTCCCAGTCATCAGTGAGGTCTGATCCTCAGAGAGCGAGTGAGCCTTACTTACAAGGAATTCAATCAGAGGGGAGGGAGGATGCTTGGCTCCTCACAATCGACCTAAGGAAAGAGAAACATGCATGGAATTGCACTCTAAGCAAAGCAAGACATCATTCCTACTGCAGCAATTCCCTCACCCTGGCCACATGTCACCAATCATCACACTGTGCCCAATTTGCAAGCTTGTCTTGGTTGGCATCTCTCTTTCAGGACCAGTGAAATACATGCATTTGTAGAGCTTTAAATAAACTGATAATATATCTCTGTTGCAAAGTCTAGCCCATTCATCTGAAAATCGTGAAGAAACAGCATAAGTCACCTGGAAGAGACAGTGACTTGCAGAAGGCTCAGCAGCCTAGATACAGAAAATCACCCCCAAAAAGAGTACTGGGCTCAACTTCCACCCCCCCCATCTCTTTACCTGTGTAACGCATAGCCCAGATCCCCCTACATACAGGCTCTAATGCTGCCATTCCGAATCTGGGGGTAAGGGGTGGGGAGTGAGGGTCACTTTCCCAGAATAAATGCAGGAGTGGATCAGACCACCATGTCTGAACGTGCTTTGTTTTCACAACTGTAAGGTGTGCCCATTTTACAAGTATTAGTTACTACACTATCAATGGCACTATGAGCACCTCCCTTTCTTTGTAACCTTTGCCTCCAAAGCTAATTTGGGCCTTGAAGAATTGAATTTTATTAAAAATTGTCTCTATATATACACAGACTAATAACACTGGGGAGAGTTGATTAGAGATCACATCTAACTTACATGGGCCAACAGTTCCTTCAACATAACTTCCATTTGGAACAGGGGCTTAAGTCCCATCCGTAAAGGGCAGAAGAGGGCTGTGTGTTTTGGAACAGGAGCAGGGCAACACCAGAACAATTCCCAACATAGACATGTCAAAAACCCTAAACCCTGTGGGGAAGAAGGGCAGACACCATCCCGCTTTCCAAACCCACATCCTGCATTAGGCGAGAAGAGAAACGGAAAGGAGGGGAGTTAGTCACAGGTTTGGGGAAACACATGCAAATGGTGAAGAGGTGCAGACAGAGGGGTTGCAGCTATGGATGGAGGTACCTTGGGGCACAGCCCAGCGTTCGGCACGCAGGGGCACCCTCACGTGCCTCCTGCCCAGATGATTGCTGCCTCCAGCCAACACAGGACTACAGCCATGCCGTACTCTGACAGCAGGCAAAAGACCGCTTTAAAATTAGATCCCTCTGTTATTTTCTGCTCACAGTAGTTTTCAAAGCTGTTAGTAATAAAACAGTCAACCACTGCTTTCAGTCCTTTCCTTCCCCAAACTCAGAGGAACAACAGAAACTGGGCTTTATACTTGGCCAACTAGTCTTTCCAGCTGTAAGATTCCTCCACTAACACTTCCAGAAAAGCTCGTAACCGAGCAGAGAGCTCTACCACATGCAAGCCGTGCCAAAGAACGAAGCCTCTTCGCCACAGGGCTCCTTGGCTGCTGGTGCAATATGCAACAAAGTAAAGAAGCTTACCCGCTGCATCGGGAGCTGCAGGTATTTGCACAACACTTGGGCTTGCCAGGGCTCCTGGAAAGGAGAAGGTGGGGAGGCCCTTTTGTGTACAGGAATTCCCAAGCCCTAAGTGCATATCATGCCTCGAGAAAGCTTCTTAAAGGCAGCAGAGAATCTAGGAAGGACAAATAAGGAAGGGAACGTAAGGCCCAGTCTTGGGAGGAGAGGAAGAAGGATGGATTTAAACACAGTGAAACACAAAGCCAAGGCACAGCAGTTTGGAAAATGGCATCGTTACTGTAACAGGAATAAAAATCCACCCGCCTAGGACACATGATGTTAACACTCATTAACTCCCTAGACTTGCACACAGCCTGTAGCTTAGGGCTTCAGCAATAGGCTGGGACTCATTAAAGCTGATTTTTACCGCTGTCCTGCTAGGCAACCATAGAAAAATCCTTCCTCTGTGTCTATCCTTCTCCGATAAATGGGGGTGAGGCCACCACCTCCCTACCTTCAAAAAGCACTCTGATACCAACAGAGGAGATGGCTACACAGGACCTTACAATCGTTAGGCATTACAAACCAGAAACACCCTCATTTGTACAAAAGGTGATAACAAATATTATAGGCTTAAACCACTGACTGTGATGTTACTTGCGTCTTTTTGAGAACAACCACTATCTTCAGAAATACATACCACCACATTACAGGAATAGGAAAAGCAAGGGGAGCTGCTGGCATACATCAGTAAGGGTTATGATACTTTCCTAGAAGCCTCGGAAAAATGCAACTCCCAACCTTTTCCTCTAACCACATAAAAGAATTTCCCCTCAACTCCCAGACAGAAGAATCAGAGCTGAGACAAGGACTGGAACAGAGCTCCTGTTCTGACCTCTCGCACCCCCAGCAGCACAGGGTCAGACCTCTGGAGATGTCAGAGAACATTTCAGGAGGTAGAGGCTGCTGTGGAAATGCACAGGCTGCCTAGACAGGGATCATGAACGAGCAGTGCCCATTTGATGAAGCAAGGTAGTGCTGGGCACCAGGCAGAGCAAGCAAACTCACGGGAAGGCCAACACAGGAATGTTGGGGCAGGCTGGATCATGCCAACTTTCGTTTTCTGTGTAAACAAGAGCAATGGTTTTGACACAGCTCTGTGAAAAGTCAACAAGGCAGACCCGAAAAAACGTTAAGTCTCCTGGATTGTTGTCAAAAGCAGTATGATAAACGTGGGGACTCTGCACCACCTCCTTTCCCCAGCTGCAGGACACACCAGTGGCTAAGCAGATCTTCCTGCTAACGCAGTTACAGGGCTGCCCGGAATAAAATATATCTGCCCAATTTCAGCTGGAAAAAGCAGAAGACCACTGGCTTTGTCTGGTGCCCAACCAAGGCTGACTATCAACCAGGCTTCCTCGATTCGGCCAACAAAGGATAGCCTGCGCTGCTAGCTAGACAACATGCCCAGTCTGAGCAGGATGAGATGAAGAAACCAAGGAGGCAGAAGCACAGTCCAAACACACACTCCTCACAGCCAAGCCAAGCAGGTTACCTACCTCCTGCTCTATTTTACGGCAGGAAGTGGATCAGCCTTATCCCAGAAAAGCTTCTGGAACTACTGGGGAAGAGGTAGGGAGGGGACTAAAAGGCAACTAACATGCTAAACTACACCTCTGGGTTGGAGCTCTTCCAATGGCATAGACAGAAGTCAACCCTGGGTCAGCCACCACCCCAACAGTGCCCACCACTAGAGCCTTAGCAAAGCTTGAGAAGACAAGCTGTACGTGTATCCTTCATAGCACAACCATATCCAAACTAAGCACAGTCTTTAAACACCTCCACTACTAAATCACTACTCATGATGATTCTTACCTTACCCCTCTGGGCAAGGACAATTGTGCTGCGTAAAAAAGCAGCCCCATCATTTGGGGCCTCATTCCTCCACAAACAAGTGTGAATTGAGAGCCCAATTTAGCGAATTGAAACGGCTTCACAAAAGATCATTACATCTTGCAGGACTCCACTGAAGGCATGGTCTGTCTGCAGACCTTCTGGCCCTGTGTGAAAGCAAGCTCCTTCAGCCCGAGGGTACAGTTGCACTGTATTTTGGTGTTGACAAGAAAGCCGGTGTAAGTAGCTTCCACCTCCACATCACGGTTCACCACTCTCGGTTGTGTCAACACAATTCCCAGCGAGCAAACAGCACCGCTGGAAAACAAAACAAAACAAATCTCTTTTCTCCCCCTTGCCACGCTTTTGTCTTGGGTCTTTTCCATGACCTAGTTCACAGCACAGCCCCGACAGCAAAACCAACACCAGGGTGAACAGCAACATGAGCAGACAGCTAGAGGGGAGATGGGAATGCCTCCCCTGCTCCAACCACGACAATTGTGTAACTGCACACCCAACACACTGCTCCCAGCAAGACCGGCACTCTCGCTTTGCTGTTCCCTTGCTCACCGATGACAGAAGGATGCAAGTACTACGTGGAAAACAATGCTAAGAACTCCCCAAAGGAAATTTCGGGACCCTGTTCTGGCAAGAAGAATGGCTGCATCCAGCACAACTGTAGAGAAATGTAGTTATCCCCAAATACCACAGAGATCACTGTAATTACAGTTTCTACACAGCTACACAACTCATTGTAACTCCCTCTTTTCATATGCTCATAAATCTCCAAAAAGAGTTCTTTTGAATTGCTGTTTTCCATGCTGGGAGCCCAATCCCATTTCCAATGAAGTTCGCTTTGTGATCGTCTTCAAGGGAGCACAGTTTGGCTCCCAGCCCAAGGGAAATTTAAAAGAGCAAGTTATATCTTTAAATCAAAGAGTGCAGACACAAACAAGAGTGCTCTTTTACGTCCCATGCTTTCCCAATGGATTTTCCCCTGTGAAGTTGAGGCAAATAACTCCAGAGCAGTTCAGCTTTGAAATCCTTGTCTGTACAGTTTCAATCTTACTCTATTTAAAACTTGCAATCAATTAGAGTTGATTTACCAGTTGGTTCATGAAGTTATATATATTTGGAAGTACCATCTGGAGCACAAGCAGCCACAAGTGTCCGTGAGGATGTGCGCACATTCGGCTCCGTACGCAGTCAGCCTCACTTGTTAAACAGCACCAGCTGTCTATAGGGTAACGGATGCCCACAAGCTATCACACCAAGAAATCTTTTTTCTTCATTTAGTGAAACAAACAGCTTTACAAATTAAACACTCGGAACCCCAAGAGCTAAGCTGCAGGATAGCATTAGGGTTCAAGAGTAAAAATAATTAAAAGATGGCTAAGCAGTGAGGAAGCATTCCAACTCTGGCATTAACTCAGCTGCACAGTACGGCTGCAGTGTATTCCTATTATTCACTTCAGAAAAACGAGAAGTTACGTAACTTGCTATGTTCAGTTGCATACATAGTAAGACCTATGAGCAATGCCACAGGAAACTTTTGCTTTTGAATTTCCTGAGCAGGCCCCAATCCAGCAATTTGATCTGTAAGCACAGAAGTTCACTCATGCTAATCTACTTGCAGAGCCAAGGCTTTCAGTTTTAACGGCCAACAAGCTTTGGGAAA